AAGAGTTTTTGGCACCCTGCCAACACCCCAAGCACCCCAGCAAGAAGAGTGAAGTTTTTGTCTCACAGAGCACCAAGTTCACTGTGGTTGCCATGGTCAGTCACTGTGGTCACCGGGGCCAGGTGCACTGTTCAGTGGCAGTAGAAACATCCTCACTGCTGTGCAGCCATCACCACCACCTGACTTCAGAACTTCGTCTTCCCTAACTGGTATGGTTTGAATGCGGAATGTCCCCCATAGGGTCATGTGCTTGAACACTTGGTCTCCAGACAGTGGTAGTTTGGGGAGGTTGTGGAACCTTGTAGACAAATGGTCAGGCTAGCAGAAGTGGGTCTCTGGGACAGGCCTTAAAGATCCTGTATCTTTGGGCCTGTCCTGAACTCTCAGCATCCTTCCTCATCAACTGCCACTATGTGAAAAATCACTACAGCCTGGCCACACGAGTGGAGAGTCACTCCCAACACCATGCCTTGCCTGCCATGGTAGATCATGCCCTCTGAAAACATGAGCCCAAATAAACTCCTCTCAAAAGTTGCTTCCGTGGGTGCTTGGTCATGGCAATGAGAAAAGTGGCTGATTCACCAATAGTCACTTGACTGATTTTTGGCAGTGCTGGGGATAAAACCCAGGGCCTTGCACATGCTAGCATACTACCACTGAGCTACACCTCCAGCCATGAAACTGGATTTTATTTATTTTTAAATATTTTATTTTTTTTAGTTTATGTGTATGCATGTATTGCCTGCATGTATGTAAGTGCATCCATGTTGTGCCATGCCCACGGAAGTCAGAAGAGGGCGTTGGATTCCCCTGGAACTGGAGTTACAGATGGTTGTTAGCCACCATGTCGGTGCCGGGAATCGAACCCAGGTCCTCTGCAAGAGCAGCCAGTGCTCTTAACCACTGAGCCATCTCTCCAGCCCTTGAAACTGGATTTTAAAAGCTGTCTCATTCTACAGGTTTTGGCTGAAAATTTATTGAAGCTTCTAGAGGGGAACAAAGACACGTAGGGCCCAGCCCTGCTCTGAAGGCCTCCCCACCAAGGACTCATGGCAAAGGGGGCACAGCTGGAGAAGGGCCAAGATAGAGACTATAGAATATTCCTGGCCTGGGCTGGGGGCTAAGGGAAAACACCACACAGTGTTGGATAGAAATCTGTGTATGTTTCAAAAGAAAGGTCTTCCCAGTGGTCCGAGTAGGCCTAATAAACAGAGCTTGCAGATCTCTGGTTGGCATAGGTTTTGTGTGTGTGTGTGTGTGTGTGTGTGTGTGTGTGTGTGTGTGCGCGGTGGGGGGGGGCATTAGGATTCAGGCCTGAGGACACAAGGGGATGGCTCTAAAAAGCCCCAGTTTCCCAAACCACAGAGGCAGACAGAAATATGAGAAGTATGCACGGCACAGGGCTCTCATCTTCGGTCCATCGACCCCCTGGATGGACTTCAGATAGATTACACAGCTGCCCACAGGCTCTGCGGAGGGAAGCTTGTTTTTCTTCTTTCTGACCAAAAACAGATTTGCTGACAGATTAGCGAGCAGGGGGCTGGGGTGATAGGGAGGTCACCCAGAATAGCAAAGCAGTGTGGAACACTGAATCACCCTAATGAGGTGCTGCTGCTCCTGGGAACTGGAGTGAGGGATGTCCAGGACAAGCTTTGGCCACTGGCCTGGGTTGATGGGGTGTCAGTTCCCATCTGGCTCCCTGGAGGGAGACATTCCTTCCCCCAGAAGGTGGGTTATTATCATGATGTCTACCTGAAGACATTGGGGTACAGGACAGTCCAAGTGAGGGTTTGAGTCCTTCTGGGCCCCAGTGCATCTCCCTACTTTTTCTGACTACTAACCTGCCCTCACACCATAAAACAGGTCATTTAACCATGTCTGTGTGTACAACTCCACAGAAGTAGGTACCGTGCAGCCATTGCCCCACCTCATGGGTTGTTTGGCTTGTTTTGTGAGACAATCTCACTGTGTAGCCCTGGCTAGCCTGGAATTTGCTATGTAGACCAGGCCAGCTCAAACTTTCAGTGACTGACTCTCCTAAGGTTATGGGCCTGCACGTCAACACCTGACCTTGGCTTGTATAAGGGTACTTGACAGCTACAACAGATAGGACTGTATTTATTTCACAGAGTGGAAACGGGCTGCAGAAGCTTTTGATTCATTCCAAGTTCATGCCAAACATGCCAATAATGCAAATGTGTTGTGCAGTGTGGGGACAAAGAGATCACCTACATCCAGGTTCAAATCCTGCCAGCCGTGTGACCCCTAGGCAAGTTACTTAACCTGGGTCAGACCATCTCATTTGTATTGTTGTTTGTTTTCTGTATTTTTGTTGTTGCTGTTGCCACACTAGGACCTCACAAATGCTAAGCAACTGCTCCACCACCGAGCTACAACCCCAGGGCTAATCACCTCATCTGAACAGTGGGGATCGTAAGCACGCCACAGTCTTGGTGTTATTGTATATAGGACATAAAATTACACGAATTATATCTACCACAGAGCCTGGCATAAAGTCGGGACTCAATAAACACCCATTGGGGATGGAAAGATAGCTCAGCAGTTCAGAGCTACAATTGCTCTTGCAGAGGGCCTGGGTTCAGTTCACAGCACCCACATGGCAGCTAACAACCATTAGCAACTCCAATTCCAGGGGATCCAATGCCTTCTTCTGGCCTCCAGGCACTGCATGCACATGTGCACTTACATAAATACAGCTAAAACACTCATACACATAAAATAAGAACAAATTTTTTGGTTTTTGGTCTTTTTGAGACAGGGTCTCCCTGTAGCCCCAGCTGACCTGGAACTCGCTATGTAGACCAGGCTGGCCTTGAACTCACAGAGATCCTCCTGCCTCTGCCTCCCAAGTGCTGGAATTAAAGGCATGCGCCACCACACCCAGCCCCGTAAGAACAAATTTTTTAAAAATACCCATATTACTATCCAAAGCAAGTAGCTGGCAAATGTGTGAGACCCTCAGCCCCTACCAGCTGGACTCTACCACCCTCAGAGGTGTTGGTAGGGTGGAAAGCTGTGGCAGGAGATGCTGGCTTGTCACAACAGGGGCCCTGGCCTCCTTGGGCCTCACTGGCAGATGTGCCCACCCAGGGAGACAAGAGGTATGGTTCTGTGATAGAGAAATAAGCACTCGGGCATGACCCTAAACACATCTCCTTTTAAGGGGAAGCAGTGATACTCTGGAAGATGCCTGGCTTATAGCTCCTTTTCTAGTGGTTTCATCAGGTCCTTGACCTTCACCTCGTAGGGCCTGAGGGTCTCCTTGGGGAACTCTCAGTTAACTCGGCTTTAATGGTTTCTCTGTGCTGTGTAGGCGGGAAGGGCAGGCACTGGGGACAGACACTGCCTTCTGGGGACCCCCATCTATCACATGGCAGACGGCTGTGCTTCTTTGGAGAGACTGGAGGGAGTTTAAAGGTGTCCTATAAAAAACAGGCCTCTCTGTCCTGGGGTGACTCAGAGGGGCCCCCTGTATACTCTTGTGGGAGGGGGTGTCATTCATCTTTGTTCCCCCAGCTCCTGGTGACAGCATCATCCTGGGTGAACTGAGCGGCCCTCAATGATACTGTTTTTTCCATTTCTTTCAGTGTGGAGGTGGGGTGGGGGTGGGTGGGAAACCCCAAGTGGGAACTAGGACAACCCCCTTTCTCCACACTTAGGTCTGTTCACTCGGGCCAGCAGCAGCCCCTGACATCTGTGTTTTTCCATCAGAAGCCCTGTTTGTCCTCCCTACACTCAGGATTCCATTGCCTACCCCCAAACCTCTCTCCAAGGTTCGGAAAGCTTTCTCTTAAGGGTCCTGAGGAGGCAAGTGGTCAGACTGGAAGGGGAGCTTCCTAGCTAGGCCATCTTTATCCACTCAAAAGATATTCAGTGACAGGCAGAACTCTGTCAGGCCAGTCCAGTGGTGGATGGAAACCTGGATCGTGTGTGTGTGTGTGTGTGTGTGTGTGTGTGTGTGTGTGTTGTAAAACTGAAAGCTGGCCTAGGAGCCTGAGCACATCAGGGCGTTTGGGGGTGATCTGACCCTCATTCTGCCTCCTTGGTCTGGTGCAGGCAGGAGCAGCCCTCCTATAGTTCTGTGTTCATGGGTTTGGTGCCTTGTGCCTTCCCCAGAAGCTCCATGAGAGATTTCCTCAGCAGGAGCCCCTGAGCAGATCTACACTGGTTGTCTCCATTCAGGACTGCTGGGGGCTGCTCGCAGGCAGAGAAGTACCTGGGCCACCACCGTGTCTGGAAAGTCCTTTCCAGGAGCCTTTCTCGTCGCACTGGGGAGTGAGTTTGGTCAGGGATGGCCCTGAGGGTGTGTGGACCCTCTTCCCAGAAACCCCACTTAGGGGCTGGGGCGGGAGAAGTTGTCTGTCTGCCTCTGGGCACTTCTTCCAGGTCCCACCTGTCCATGTAACTGAGACCCGCAAATCTCCCTTCCCTTAGAGCCTGTCCTTGAAAGAACCAGGTCTATCTTATCCTTCAGAGAGGTGTCTCTTAACAGTTTAGCCAAGAACATAAAAATTCAGGGACGCTCACCCTGGAATCCTGGGTCCAGCCTTTAGCCGCCCAATAGACCAAGAGGCCTGGCAGGTGGTGTAGCTCAGTGAGAAAGAGGCCAGGTACTTTCTGAGGAGGCCCCGCCCTCATTCTGCCAGATCGGCACCCCCCTCGGTTTCTCCAACCCTGGCCCCCAGCTTCTCCCACCCTGACCCCGCCCCCAGTTTCACGCACCCTGGCCCCGCCCCTCCTGTCTCTGCCCCACTCTCCTGCACCTGGCGGTGGGTCAGAAAAGGGAGACCGCCCTGGTCTCCTTGCGCTGGAGACTCTTGCAGGTTCGGGACCTGAGGCCTCGACCCCTCTGTACCATGTTTGGTGCTCCTCAAGGCCCACCTGCCCTAATGGGGGCCTCCCAGCATCCCGCAGGGCAGCACCCCAGGAAGCACTCTGAGCCCAGCCGGGCTCGCTCTCAGGAACTTTATTGCCCAGGGCTAGAAGAAGTTGACCACCCTGCGAGCGACTGCACGCGGGCGCTGTGGGCCTCCCAGTCCGAGAAGCTGAGGAAGTCGCCCCTCTCCAGCAGGTACATGCGGCCTCAGTAGCTGGACTCCTCATAGAGGACCCACCTGGAGGTCAGGGGAAGTCCGGGTCACCCGGCGCCAAGGGGCTCAGCTCCCAGCCCTGCCCCTCTGGGGAGCATCAGTGGGCTGGGTACTGGGGTGGGACAAGGAGGGGGTGCCCAGTAATTATACAGACTGACCAGCATGTGAGAAGGGTGACTCAGGGATACACTCTGCCCTCATCACCCACCCACCCACTCGAAGGACCATTTGCACATAGTCCCCAGCCCCTGGCAGGGCGCCCGGCACAATCTGGGGACCATTCCCACTGTCCAGTCCGGTTCTGGCGTGTGCCCCCCCCCCCCTTAGCACAGAACCCAAGTCAGTCAGACAGCCCTGGCAGCAGCCATGCTGGAACCTGTGCTCACTGGAAGTGGCCTGTGCAGCCTGACTTGCGCAGAGGAGCTGTGGGACACACACGGGTCACCAGGCCCTTCAGTGCTCCTTCCCCACAGCAGTGAGTTCCAGGGCAGCCTCAACTGCCCAGGGAACAGAAGCCAGCACACAGTCTTTACAACCCAGCCGGCTGTAGGGCTGAAGGGAAAGGGCATCATCATAAGCTGGGGGAATCCAGAAGGTATGATGGAGGATCATCAGGAGGGTGTTCTCTGCTTGAGAGGAGCACAGTCTGAGGAAGAGATCTGAGCAGAGGCTAGACCAGCCCTGTCCTTCTTCTTACCATCCCTAAGACAAACATGGGACCGTGAGGTGGGGACTTCAAAAAAGACTGCTTGCATGAACCATCCCTACTTGGGGTCAGATTTGAAGGCTGGACTAGGGGAGCTTTAGAAAGGGAGGCAGGCAGTTTCTCTCTCTCTCTCTCTCTCTCTCTCTCTCTCTCTCTCTCTCTCTCTCTCTCTCTCTCTCTCTCTCTCTCTCTCTCTCTCTCTCTCTCTCTCTCTCTCTCTCTCTCTCTCTCTCTCTCTCTCTCTCTCTCTCTCTCACACACACACACACACACACACACACATTCACCACAGTAGAAAACACCTTTTCTCTGCCAGGAAGCCTGCTGGCCCCAGGGCTGCTTCAATCTCTGGGGTTCTTGTGACCCAGGCCACCAGGCTACTCAGACCTCCACTACTCAGACTCTGCTGTTCAAGTTTTCTCCCTAGGGAGCGGATTGGATCTGTGTGTCCTTCAGCCCAAGACTCTGCCCACAGGTGAACTCAGAAAAGGAGAGCCCACCAAAGGCCACACAGCCCACTTCATCCCTGCCACTGTAGGCCCCTCCCTTCCCCATCCTGACCCCTCACCTGGTGCCTGGCACAGTCTCCCAGTAGGGAGGGATCAGGGTTGGGAATAAAGAGAGAAAGAGGAGGTGTGAGTTGGCGGGGAGCACCTGCTGAAGATCAGAGCAGGCCTGATCATCACAGCCTCCCTACAGCCACAGCCTTCCACCACCTAGCTGGGGCCTCCAAGAGAGTAAGGCAATCCCTGCCTTCCCTGTGGTGCCCTGTGCCACCCTGGAGCTCTTGGGGACATCCCAAAAGGAAGGGTAAGGGACCTGACTGGGCTTCAGAGCTAATCCTGACAACCCCCACCCCAGCTGTGAGTCCTGGGGGGGAGGCAGCAGAGGAGGGAGGGGGGCTTGGTCTGTTAGAGCCCTGGAGGAGGGGCAGGAATTCTCTACATTTCCTGAACAGACCCTCCAGGACACAGTTATGAGGGACAGGTCATTCCTGAGCTGGCATGTGGGAGGTGGACCTTGCTGCCCAGCTGGTCCCAGGAAGGGCTCCAGGGTCCCAGGGCATCACCACCTGGGAAGCTACTCCTTGACAAGGGTTTACATTATGAGTTAAGGTCAAAGGAGGCAGAAGATGAACACACCCTGGATCCAGAGTCCACCATCTCAGCCTCCAACTGCTGACCATCAAGCTTCGCTCCTCCCAGGAAAGTGGGGATTAAAGATCATATGCCCCTCCAATCAGACAGTGCTCATTCCCTCACTCCTACCATCCCTTCCCCCAAGTACCCCCAGGGTTGGCAGGGGGATTTTTATCTTAAGTCTCAAGATAGCGTCTATGTAAAATAAGTCTTTGGCCTCTTGAGACACAATTTAACCAACAAATTTCAAAAGGGCCAGTTGTTTTGGAACCCTATCCCTGCACTCCCAAGTACCCTTAGCTTAGGGGAGCCAAGGTCAGGTGTGTGGGAGGTGGGTATCCACAGCTCTGCTTTGGGTAGGCTTTGTCTTCCCCAGTCCCTCCCTTGACTCCTCATGAAGGGCCCTGACACCGAGCCTCAGAAATATAGAAGGCAGGTGGCTCTCTAGCCACTTCCAGAGGAGCCGAGTTCCTATATCAATCCTGTGCAGGGAGGCAGAGATCCTGCAAGCTCTTGTGGGGGAGAGGCTGAGGGTACCCAGATCTGGAGCAGGATAGGCTCTACCAGTCTGCAATCCCAGCTGGGCCCATCAGGAGGGAGTTAACTGCAGTCTCTGTACCTCTATAAAATGGTGACGATGTCTACCCAAACTGGAAGGGGAAGATGAGGAGGGTCCAACTGTACAGTCTTGGGAGGCTTTGCACAAGCAGATTGCTTAGGGGAGGGCAGAAGGAAACCCACATGCTATGTGCCTGTGTTTGCACAGGGAGCCACCTGGCAAGGCAAACACAGGGCTTTGGTGGCTGGTTTTGATTTGGTTTTGTTGTGGTTATTTGATACATGGTCTTCCTATAGCCCCAATTGGCCTGAAATTCACTATGTAGACTAGGCTGGCCTTGATCTCACAAAGATCTACCTGCCTCTGCCTCCCAGTGCTGGGATTAAAGGTGTGCACCACCATGCTCCACTGATGGCTGTTTTGGAGTAGAGAAGACAAACTCAAGATCCCCAGCTACTCTGCATCCATCACAAGAGAGCCCCTGAAGCCCACCTCCCCAAAAGGCTGGTGTGGGCTGTCTGCCTGCTAGGCAGAGAGGTCTAGGTCCAGGGTCATCTCAGTTGAGCAGGTATACCCTCTTAAAGAGGGTCAAGGCTATTGTGCAGGTTTGTACCCTATAAATGGGGGTTGTTTTGATCAACAGGCTTTCAGGCTCAAGAAAGCCAGACAGTCTATAATCTTAGTCTTGTGAAAGAGATGCTCACAGCTTCCCAAGTGCCCTCTTCCCTGCTTCAGGCCTGGCACCCTAGAGGCCAGGTCTCAGGAGGCCTCTAATGTCCAGTGTCCCTCCCCAAAGCCTTGACAGACGCAAAGGTAGCCATTCACCTGGAACAGGTGAGGTAGATGAGGGCCTGAGGGTCAGGGGCACCATGCCCACCCAGTGGGGTGTGATGCCCCCTCCCCTGCCACACCTGTCTGGCAGCCCCACCGATACTCACGCTCCATCCCCATACGCCTTGGATCCCCATACACCTTGATGGAGTTGATGCAGCTCTTGGCCCAGCCCCGGCTCTGCAGGAAGGGGCAGTCCTCTGTGAACTCCAGGCACTGGCCCGTGAAGTTGCATCCCTCAAAGATTTCTATGCTGAAATGTTCTCCATGCTCCAAGATCCAGACAGGTGAGGGGAGAAAAAAAGAGTTTTCTGAGCCTCTCCTCCCCGTACATGGGTGAGAAGAACCATGGGCTGGGCTGGCAGGCCAGCAAGTGCCCCCCAATCATGAACACATACATTGTTTTCTATAATGAGATGTATTGGGGAAAAAGGTTCTGTTGCTCTGAAGAGCTTCTGAGCCACTGAACTGCTCTAATCTCTACTTTTTACAACTAGTGAGGGCAAGGCTGCCTAGACACCAGCAGCCACTAGGACAGGGCTGGGGGGTGGGGATCATCGGCTCCTCCAGATATTTGACCTCAGTGATTTGTGCTCAGTTCTGACTTTTCCACTCTGGGTTTCAGGCCATATGCAGGCCTTCAAATGATAATATTTTAGAACTGTAATAGAATCCCTTATGAAAACATGAAGCCAAGAAATGTAAAACAATGAATCTCGTTTGCCGAAGTCCCTGCTGGCCTTGCCATCACATTCACTAACAGCAGTATACACCTCCCTGTGTGATCCCCATTCCCAGTCCAAAGGACAGAGGAGGCCCACTCCCTGGCCAGATGCCTGTGAGACCCGGGTCTGCCTTGCAATAGGCGCCTGGGATGGATCTTACAAGAACAGCCTTGAGAAGCTGCCTGATATATTTTTCATATAAATAGCATTATGCAGGATCCTAAACCAACTATCCTAATTCTCTCCAAATGCCCACAGCCTGGCAGAGAGACGAGGAAAGCATTCTTTCAACTTGACATGCCAAAGCCCAGCTAATTTTGCAACTGATGTAGAAAAAGGGTCCCCTCGCAGAGAGAGGCACCTTCCTGGACTCTTCAGGTTTTGGACAGAGCCCTGATCAGGTGTCCAGGATGTTTTGATGACAGCTACACTCTCTGGTCTCTGGACTCACTTGTTTCCCACCCAAAGGACAACACTCAGGACAGGTCCAATGTTTGTAACCTGGGGAGCCCTCACCCCTCAAATTCCACAGGGACTAAACAGACAGTATCTTTCTCCATGGGGGAGCAGTACTCCATTTCACTTGCTCTCCCTACACACACCAGGCTACAGCTATGAGATGCTACCATCTTCCCAAATCCAAGAGTCCTGCCCCCAGGTTTCCTGCTGACTGGCCTCCCTGGCACTTTGGCTTCCTGGATTATCCATTCCAAGTTCAAAGTGCTGACGGCCTGCAGGTTACCTGCATTGGTAGATGCCCACACTCAAACCAGCCCTACTGTGTGTGTGGGAGTGTGTGTAGGCCAGAGGTCAATGCCTGCTGTGTTCTTTGATTCTGTCCAGGTGTGTGGAGGTCATAGGACAGCACTGTGGAGTCAGTCCTCTCCTTCGACCTTTACCTGGGTTCTGGGGATTGAACACAAGCTTATATACCTTACCAACTGAGCCATCTTGCCAGCCCTTTACCTTATTATTTTGAGACAGGGTCTGCCTGTAGCCCCAGGTAGCCTGGTACTCCCTATGTAGACCAGGTTGACCTTGGTCTCACAGAGATCTCCCTTTGCCTCCCAAGTGCTGGCATTAAAGGTGTGTACCACTCCACCTGGCTGGATTTATTTTTAATTATGTGTGTGTCTCTGTATGGGTTTGCACATTTAAACATGTGCAAGTTCACACTAAGGACAGAGGCATTGGGTCCCCCTAGTGATAACTTACAGGCAGTTATGAGCTGTCTGACATAGGTGCTGGGAACCCAACTTGGGTCCTCTGCAATAGCATATTCCCTTTTAACCTCAACTGTCTCTCTAGCTCTTCCACCTTATCTTTTGAGACAGGGCCTCTTACTGAACCCAAAGCTTACCCAGTTGGCTAGACTAGCTGGATAGCAAGCCCCAGGGCTTGTCCTGTCCCCGCTCCAGAGCTGGGGTTACAGATGTACCACTCGCCTGGCTTTGTACATGGGTGCTGGGGATGCAAACCCAGTCCAGATGCTTCTGTAGCACTCCACCGACTGAGCCGCCCCAGTCCCTAGCCTAACTTCTGATGACAGCTCCCCTATCCAGCTGCATTCCGAACTTATATTTTAGGCCTTTGAAATTTAGCTAAACACTTGGCTCAGAAATTTAAAGTGGTCCCTTGACAATTCCCAGAGGCTCTCCTATCCTATCCCTACCCTACCTGGTCCCCCACAGCATCTCATGCCCATGTCAGGGTAGGTCTGGGCTTCAAGATCTTTTGGGAGGCCCACACAGCTGATTTAATGCCCAGCTGATTCTACATTGCTTGGGCAGATGTTTCCAGTGCCTGGGTGTAGCGACTCACTCACCATGCCCACAGGTCGACAAGAGCCCATGTGGTCATTGTGGCCGTTCCAGTGGAAGAATTCAGGGTAATCACCGTGTTCCAGGATGAACTGCTGACCCTGAAAATCAGGATGATCGAAACAGACCCAGGTTCCACTCTCCACAGGATGGAGTTCACCCTGTTCATAAAGCCTCTGTCCTGGAAGTTGTCACAGTCCCCAAAGACCTCCAGCTTCTGACCTGTGAAGTGCTTGCCCTCACAGAGAGTCATCTAGAAGGGCCAGGAGAGAGCTCAGGGTCATGGGCTTCTCTCCTTTCAGTTCAGGGGCTGGTCTCGGGGCCCTAATACCCTCAGTGGAACCTAGACTTCCATCCCTGTTCATCTAAGTAGGTGTCTGACACTATCTGCTGATGGGGCGGAGAGTGAATAGTCAGCGGGCTGATGTCAGACATGGCTCTGCTGATCTCATGGTGAGTACACATTGCCGAGCTATGGGAACAGGGACCTCTCCTTTGTCTACTTGCCCACTTGATTTCCTATCTGGCTATTTTCAAACTTCATGTGTAGTTATTAAACTTGATATTTGTTGTTAAACATAATATCCATAATAACATTAAAGGTGTGGTGGTGCATGTGTTTAATCCCAGCACTTGGGAGGTAGAGGCCTCTACTCTGAGAGAAGTAGTCCAGTCCAGCCTGGTCTATGTAGGGAGTTCTATGTCAACTAGGGCTTACAGGGAGATCCTGTCTAAAAAAATTAAAAAATTAAAAAAAACACTATAATAACATTAAGAGACTTAAAAGATGGGGTTGGAGAGATGGCTCAGCAGTTAAGAACACTGGTTGTTCTCACAGAAGACCTGGGTTCAAATCCCAGCACCCACATGGCAGCTAACAACTGTCTGTAACTCCAGTTCTAGGGGATCCGACAGCCTTTTCTGTCCTCCTCAGGCATTGCACAACATGGGTGTACTTACCTACACACAGACAATATATGCATACACATAAAATAAAAATAATTAATAAATAAAATGTATATATAAAACAAAGATTTATTTAAAAGAAATGTTTTCCAAGGCATCTTATTAGAACAAATCACCATAACCCAACATGTATTTTTCAGAAACTCAAGTTCATCCCTGGAAGCCCTGGAAGGGAGAGACTGACACAGGGTCCTCAGAAGAGGGCTGTTTCTCTCTCTCTCTCTCTCCCCCCCCTCCTCTCTCCCTCCCTCCCTCTGGGACAGGATCACATTTATCCCAGGCTGACCTTGAATTTGCTATGTATCTGGGGATGATATTAAACTTCTGATCCACCTGCCTCCACTTTCTGAGTGTGGAGATTATAGCCGTGCACCACCATGACTGGTTTATGCAGTGCTGGGAATTGAACCCAGGGATTTATGCATGGTAGGCAAGCACTCTGCCTCTTCATCCTCAGACCCTTTCCTTTTCACAGGCCCCTTCTTTAGGTACCAGGAAGGTGTCAGACCTGGGATTTTATGAACCTAGTGGCAGTTCAGAGGTAGTGTCCTCTGGTTAGGTAGCTCTGACAGATTGTCCTTGTTGCAAACCAGACAATTGGAGCAACCACAGCCCAGAACTCACTTCTTGCCAAGGAACCTAAAATTCAACCAACCACTCAGTAACTCTTCCGGTATCAAGAATTGTGGTCTCAGCAGCACAGAACTATGGAAATGGACCTCAGGCCCCCATCTTAGTTGAAGAATTATTGGCATCTGATTACAGCTGGGTGAGGAAGAACTGATCTTAAAGAGAGGGACTCTAGATAGGCTGACTAGATCCCCGTGGATGAACTTGCACTGAGGGACATCTGGGGACACTAACTTGACATGATAGGCCTTAACACAAATGACAGAATGTAGGCACTCCAGTGGGAGGGGTTGGGAGGGTGCCAAAGGGGAAAAGGGTATAAATATGATTTTTCTATATGAAATACACAAAAATTCAATACAAAATTAAAAATAATTGTGGCCTCAGAAGGACTCTGTCAAAGGATCATTGAATCACCAAGGAACTGTGGTTGTTTGAGCTTTCCCAATATCTCCAGTTTTCCAGAGGGATATTGTGACATTGACCTTTGTGCTGGATAGCTTTAGTGTCAACTTGACACACCTGGGTTGAGGGAGCCTCAATTGGGGAATTGCCTCTATTGGACTGGCCTGTGGCCATGTCTGAGGGGCATCTTCTTGATGAGTGATGTGGGAGGGCCCAGCCCACTGTGGGTGGTGCCACCCCTGGGCAGGTGGGCCTGTGTTGCATAAGAAAGCAGGCTGAGCAGGGGCCAAAGGAGCAAGCCTGTAAGCAGCGTTCCTCCATGGCCTGTGCTCCAGCTCCTGCCTTCAGGTTCCTGCCCTGAGTTCCTACCTTGGGCTCCCTGATGAACTGTGACCCGGGAGATGTAAGACAAATAAACCGTTTCCTCCCCAAGTTGGTAGTGGTCAGAGTGTTTCGTCACAGCAATGAAGAACAAACTAAGACAACCTTCCTGGCCCTTTGGAGTTAGGGTGGACTTGTGTTTTGTAGGAATAGATGCTGGGGAGCCAGGACATTGATTTGAGGGCTCTTCCCTTTCCTTTCACGCTCTGATCTGCCCAGCTGGGGCTGATTGTTACTGGAGCACAACTCAGGCCATGCAGACTGAGCAGCGAGCTCTCAGCACTGAGGCCCATTTGACTGGATCCTCTGGAGGCCAAATGCTCCATGGATTAGCCACATCCAGACACTGGAGAAGGGGAAGGCATGTCTACATTGACTATCCTTCCTGCATAGAATGCAGGTCTGGTCAGGGCCCCCAGAACATTTAGGGAGACCTGAGCATCCAAAAGATTTTGAGGTCCAATCTCAATATACAGCAGAGAACCCACTTCTAGTCATGTGGGGGGAAAAGATCTAGGGGGTGGACACACTTGGACCACCCTGTAGCAAGGAAGAGCCAGCAGGGTACCTTCGGCTGTAGGGTTCATCAAATCTACCACTCAAGCTAGAAGCAGCAGGACCTAACCAAGCTCCTCCTGACCTGGGGACCCCAAGAACAGAAGGTAGGGAGAAGGTGACCTTTCTACCCATGCACCCCAGCCAGGCCCTCAGCCAATAGGGAGGTCACCCCCAAATAAGAAATGAAGCCAACTTTGCTCAGGCTTGTCACACTCAAAGGAGCCTGGGACCAGTCTGCACCCTCCTCATGTGCTAACCTGGGGACGATTGCAGGGGTCCAGGGACCTCCAGGCCTCACTTACCTTTCCGGAACGCTTTGCCATGGTGCACCGCCAGCCCTGGCTGTACTGGGTATATAGCCCATGGCGCCTGCTGGCTCAGCGCCCCTGAGACAAAAAGATTTGCTTGGCCAGGCACCAGTGCGTTAGTGCTGTGGGGCGTGCTAAGCCCGAGGGGCCGCAGTCAGGCACCCACTGCCTCTGAGCTGCACAGGCTCCTAAGACCTCTGGCTGCGACCCCTCCTGTCCTCCCACCGTCCTGAGTCAGGGTCATAGCAACCCCTGCATGGGAGACCATCAGTCCCCATTTCCCCCAGCCCTCATTCCCCGCCCCCTCCCCCGCCTCCCGCAGCGCTGCTGTTCAGGGCTCTTGACATCCAGCCAGCTCTCCCCTTTCCCACCTGGCTGCAACCTCACATGGCTTCTGCCTTGTTTCTCCAGATAAGGGACAGACTCCAAGCTTCCTGGGGCCTTTGACACCCCCCCCCCCCCCCCCCCCCCAGTCTGGGCTCCCAGCCTCGGCTCCCTCTCTCCCACTTACTCCAATAACCCCTAACCCAGCCCCTGCTGCCTTTCCCTACTCTGGCCCTGTCTTCTCACTGCCTGCTTTGGTCCACACTGTCCTCCCTCCTTCTACCATGGCCCTTTCCCTTTCCCCATTAGATCATTGATGTCACCTGCCCTGCCCCTTGATGCCTGTGCTGGGGGGCCAGAGTACTGTGTGCCCATGTGACTCTGCACCTGCATCCTGACTAGACTACCCAGGATGCCAAGGCTCTGTTTACAGAGCGTTGCAGCCCCCAGGAGCTGTGGCTTGAGGATTTCCCAGGCCCAGCAGTACTTGGAGACCAGTGTGAGGCATGAAGAGTAAACATCACAGATTGCTGGGGGGATGAGATGGTGGCCCTGGGGACAGGAGAGAGAAGCTCCAGGGAGCTGGGGGCGGGGGTCCTAGAAAGCAGGAGACTTTGGGGAGCCATCCGGGCTTTCCTCTAAGCTAGGAAAATAGAGAATAATTACCACCATCACAGATAAACCCTTTAAGCCTGGCGACAGGAGGCCCAGGGATTCTGGGAAGTCACCCAAGGCAGGCAGAGAACCATATGTCACCCCTGACCCCAGGTCACACCTTCCCCAGGGGACCCTTCCAGGACCAGCCCATTTCTTCACAGACACCCCCAGGCCAAACCACACTTTCCTGTGTTTGTCACCGGATACAGCCCTCTTGGAGTCATAGCATTAAGTCTTCCACCAATCCAGAAGGAGAAGTTTTAGTGTTTATTTAATAAAAAAAAAATTAGAGGGGAGGAGGTGCTGGAGAGATGGCTCAGCAGTTAAGAGTACTTGCTCTTACAGAGACCAGGGTTCCATTCCCAGCACCCACGTGGCAGCTCACAACCACCTGTAACTCCTCAGGCATCACATGACACAGGTACACTTACATACATGCAGGCAAAATACTCATAAAATAAAAATAAAATGAAAAACATGGTTTTTTTTTTCGTGTGTGTGTAGGTCAGAGGACAGACAACCTCTGGTGTCAGTCTTTCATCTTGTTTGAAAAAACAGGGTCTTAGGTGTGGTGGTGCATGACTTTGATCCCAGCACTCTAGAGGTAAAGGCAGGCAGACCTCTGTGAGTTCAGGGCTAGCCTGGTCTACATAGCAAGTTCCAGGCCAGCTGGGGCTACAGGGAGACCCTGTCTCAAAAAGACAAAAATAAATAAATAAATAAAATATTTTTTAAAATTTGAATTACGTGTACATTTGCATGTTTATGTGTGTGTTTGTACACGTGAGTGTGGTGCCCACAGAGACCAGAAGAGTGCATCAGATCCCCTAGAGCTGGATTTACAGGTGAATATGAGCTGCCCTGATGTCAGTGCTAAGAACTGAACTTGCCTTCCCTGGCACCACAGAATGTGCTTTTAACAGGCAGATGAGCCGTTGGAAGGGTTTCTAAGGTGCCTCCCCACCACCTCCTTTCCCCTCTCTCTTTTTTTTTTTTTTGTTGTTGTTGTTTTGTTTTTGTCTTTTTGAGACAGGGTCTCCCTGTAGCCCCAGCTGGCCTCGAACTCACTATGTAGACCAGGCTGGCCTCGAACTCACAAAGATCCCCTGCCTCTGCCTCCTAAAGTGCTGGGATTAAAGGTGTGCACCATCACACCCGGCTAAAGATACATTTTTTTTTAAAAAAAAGCAGGGGAAGCCAGCCATGGTAGCGCACACCTTTAAACCCAGCATTCCTGGAGGCAGAGGCAGGTGGATCTCTGTGAGTTCAAGGCCAGCCTGGTCTACATATCGAGTTCCAGGTCAGCTGGGGCTACAGGGTGACCCTGTCTCAAAAAGGCCAAAAAAAAATCAGGGGTATGAGGATTACTGAATCTTATTTCTTTTTAACTTTTTTTTTTTAATGTGTATGCGTGTATTGCCTGCAAGTAGGTAAGTGCACCTGTGTCATGCAATGCCAGTGGAAGTCAAAAGAGGCTATCAGATCCCCTGGGACTAGAATTACGGACAGTTGTTAGCAGCCATGTAGGTGCTGGGATTCGAACCCGAGTCTTCTGCAAGAACAACCAGTGTTCTTAACTGTTGAGCCATCTCTCCAGCCCTGAATCCTATTTCTTAAAAGCAGGATGCAACTTCCAGTGGGAGATGCAGTATTATTATTATTATTAATTATTATTATTACTACTACTACTACTACTACTATTTTGGTCCTTTTGAGACAGAGTCTTCCTGTAGCCCCAGCTGTCCTGGAATTCACTATGTAGACCAGGCTGGCCTTGAACTCACTGAGATTAAAGGCATGCACCACCACACCTTATTATTTTTTAAAAATATTTTATTTATTGTTTTTATTTTATGTGTATGAGTGTATTGCCTGCATGTATGTGAGTGCACCCGTGTCGTGCAGTGCCTTGGAGGTCAGAAGAAGTTCGGATTCCCCTGGAACTGGAGTTAAGGATGGTTCGTAGCTACCATGTGGGTGCTGGGAATGGAACCCAGGTCCTCTGCAAGAGCAGTCAATGCTCTTAACCGCTGAGCCATCTCTCCAGCCCCTATACCGCTTATCTTTTAAGGCTCCTGCACAACTTAGATGCTTTGACTCTGTTACTATGGGTCTCATTCCTAACAAGAGCTGCCACGTCATGTGCCTGCCATTATGATGCCAGTGTCATCTTTCTCCCAGTCCCTAAGTCCACTGCCCGCACCCTCTCACTCCTGCCTCCCTCCCATACGCTTAAACTCTATTTGAAACATCTCTACAGATCGTTTTCCTGTCTTCACAGTTTGCTTGTTCCACAGTTCATGTAGTTGGATTACTATATTTATGTTACCTTTTCCAGACTTTTTTTAGCTTACTGGTGGCCTCAAACCAAACCTGCCATATAACAGAGGATGACCTTGAACTCTGGACATTGCTGCCCCCACCACCAGAGTGCTGGGATTACAAGTCTGTGCCTCCCCACCCAAAACCAGGCTGGCGTCTTTCACTAAGTAATATACATTTAAATATACATTTAAAATTATCCTGTGTCTTTTGTCTTCCAGGCTCATTTCTTTTGAACAATATTCCATTGTCTGTGTCTTACACTGCGTCTCACAGTCTGTACTGCTGTGATGGAGTACTTGAGGGTCGGGAATTTATTAACACGAAGAGCTTCTGCTCTTTGCAGAGATTTTCATCCCAGAGTTCTGCATGCTGGGAAAGTGCAGGCTGGACCTGGATGTCCTGGGATGCCCTCGCCCCCGTATACACACACACACACACACACACACACACACCCCGGGTGCAGCGGGACACAAGGATGCAGGAAGAAGGAACCTGGGCAGGCTCAGCAAGCCCTGCAGACAGGACTGTCAGACCTGCTGGGACCCTGCCTTAGGCCCAGATCACCTACCCACATCCCTCCCCAACCCCCCAAGCCACGTGGTCCTGCCACCCTGGCTCCACCCTATTCCAATGCAAGGGAGATGACCTGGAGTCTTTCTCCCAGGCATTTGGCAAGAAGGAAAGGCTAGACGCCCACCCTGGAGCATCTGGGCCTTAAATGATGAAGCTGAAACCTGCCCCTTGGTGGTGATCTCAATAACTACACCGCTAGGCGCAGTGGTGGCTGACTCACAGCGTTTTCTATGGCCCAGCACCAAGCAGGGCTTAACATAAACTCAGTCATGAATTTGCTCAACAATCCTATGAGGTGTGGATTGTTATCTCCACTTTAGAGATCTGGGAAACGAGGCCCAGAGTGAGGAGTTTCCCAAGGTCACACAGCAAGCAGGGGAAGAGGATTTGGATCCTGAATTCTGTTAACTGGGGCTTCTCAACACTTCGCCTTGCTGCAGTGCTAAGGGTCCCGAGCTTTATTCATTCATGTTCTGGTTTTAGAACGTGCCTCCCAGGTTCCCTCTGCTTCATCTAGATGTCACTTCCTGATCTGAGAATGACTCACAGGCTGACTTTAGGATCATCTGCAAAATCTGTGCCTCAAGTGCAAATTAAAGCACAGGATCTTTGCATGCATCATTTGAGTGGCAAAAAATGAAAAGTGATCAAGGATCGAGGAGTCACATGTAAGTAAGTCATATGTAGGGGAGAGACCACAGATCAGGGGGTGTCTGGTCCCAGGGTGGTGGAGGCGGAGGGTTTGTTTTGTTTCTTTGGTGGTGGTACTGGGGATTGAATCCAGGGCCTTGAACGTGCTAGGCAGGCACTCTACCACTGAACTCTCATCTCCCTTTTTGATTTTGAGATACTGCCTTACTAAGTTGCCCAAGCTGGCTTTGAACTCATTCTGCGGCCAAGACTGGCTTTGAACTTGTGATCCTCCATCTCCAGCCTCCTAGTAGCTTTGCCACTAGGTCTGCCTCAGAGATGAGGTTTTGTAGAAACAGCACAAGCAGAGAGTAGCTGGGATTACAGGCCTATGCCACTAGGTCTGCCTCAGAGATGAGGTTTTGTAGAAACAGCACAAGCAGAATGGAAATGCAGTATATTTTGATTGTGGTGGTAGATACAAAGTTGTAAAAATCTGTTAAAAT